GTTGAAATGGGTCCAGGCCTTCCTATTTAATATTGCTTGTCACTATGTTCTCAGTGTCACCATTCAGTTAAAAATAATAGATGTTACTTTTCAGTGGTATTTCAGCAATAAGAAAACATGACCTTCTAAAACAATAACGCTAATGATTTTAAGATTTCAAATGTTTTTGTATCTCCATGTGACAAGTCTCCTGGTTACATTCAAGATACTTGCTGATCCTGACTTGATGTTGTGTTTATATTTAGACAGTTTGATGGGTTATTGGTTTTTATTTAGTGGTCAAGAGTCTCCAGCAAAAAGCTGACAGGCATGCACAGATAATGAATTTATGTCTTCCCATCTTTATGTCTCTGTATCATCAGAACTTTGGTTAAGTTCATCCAGGTAGATGAAGGTCACATATACAGTACTAAATGTGGTTGTACTTCTTTTGCAATTGGGTAGCTTATTAGTAACCTCATTTTCTATTTGCCTAATATTTCAAAAAACAGAGATTGTATCACAAGACAGTATGAATCTACAGTGCCTCTATCGTGCCTCATATTTAGCTCAGTTTCCTATAGTTGGTGTTTAGTGACATTCATAATTTTGCATACTTGCCCATCAAATTACACCGTATTTTCCCAGAATCTATGGGAGACTGATTAAGATGGGTCAGCCTCCTTTTAAAAAACTTTAATGTTAATATTTTGCTAAACTTTTCATTTTGAAATAAGTTTAAATGGAAATGTTGCAAAAAGAGTACAAAGAATTTTTACGTATCCCCCACTTGGCTTCTGCAGATGTTAACCTCACAGATAACTGTAGCAATAATAATCAAAGCCAGGAAATTACCAGTGATCCAATACTGTTAACTCCTCCACACACCTAATCCAAATTTCATCAGTAGTCCTACTAATGTCATCTTTCTGGATCAGGATCCAATCCAGAGTCTCTAGTTATTGTTGTCTTCTTAGTCTCCTTTATTTTGGAACAGACCGTTCCTTTGTCTTTTTTGTCTGTCATGATCTGTCACTTACTATGCTGGTTTATGCTGCCCACACATGCTCCCAATAATCACCATGGCTTAAATAGTATGAAAAGTTTAGCACTTAATTATTCTTTATTGAAAGGTAATTTTGTCTTTTAATTAGATAGTAATATTATAACAACTATTATAATGACTTATATAGACAAATAATACTGTTAACAGCATATTGATTTGGTCTTGCTAATATAAATGGTCAATCTAGATTTTCGGTAATTTGAGGTAAAGAGGTGAGGGGGAAATTGATTACAACTGTATTTGGGGAATAATTTAAAAGATTACTAGAAGAGATTGCACTTACTTCTCTTGTTCATATATTTTCTCATCTCTTACATCAATATTAAAATGAATTGTTGGTATAGAAGTGAAAATTATCAAACTATGACCATAATTAGTAGCCTCATCTGAAAGATTATTTGGAAAAATAACAATTGTAATATAGAGAGATTGGTTGATGGTTAAATAACAGGAGTAAGGATAAATGTCCCTAGAATGAAAACTTTCTTTGTAATTTTAATGACTTTATCATTGAATTATTTCAAATGTAAGATTGTCCTCTTCCTAAGAACTGAAAGGACCTCCACAGTGTGATTAACTTAATATGTCGTCGTTCTGTCCCTATGATGTGGCAGACAGACAGATGCTGCTTTCCCTAGTTTACAGATGGGTTACTAGGGCATAAAAGCAATACAGTGCTTTGTCAGAGATCACCAAATTAGTTAGATGCAGAGACAGGGCTGAGAGTTGGGTTCTTGGTTGAGTGGATTTGCCCACTCTCCCCCATTAGACTGTAAATTCTGACAAATAAGATAGACTTTCTCAAGTATGAAGATTTCCAATGTTGTTAGTAACCAGGCAGCATAAAGTAACATTTTAGAAATATACTCTATTCTTTTTAAGAAGAACATTTAAGTTTTATCACTGCATCATGTATAATGCAACATGAATAAAGCCCTGCTGACTTTCGCATTTGTGAGGAAACTAGCATTCCTGTAGATTAGTGCCAGGGCAGAGAAATGACCCTGTTATCTCTGTAATGGTAATATTGTGCCTCACAGGGAAACTTGCATCATTAAGAGTGAGTTATTATTTTCTTGCAGACACTTTCTACATGTGTTATTAATATGTAAAGCCAGAAGGAATTGAAAAGGTTTTTCTAGGGACTTGGGTATATAATTTAAAGCTTTCACCCTTACCTGAAACAGCACGTAAGTGTGTGTTGACACGTGTTTGTAGATGCGCGCACACACGACTTCACACCTCCATTTCTTCGTGTACATCTCTTCTTTCTACATGGAATACTCTCTTTATTTCCCCGTTAGCTCCAAGACCCTTCTCAGTTGTGGCCTCCATGTTGGTGAAGCTTCCTCGGTCCTTAACAACCAGATTGTTGCTTCCCTCTGTTTTCCTAGAGTGGTTTATCCCCACTACTGCATCATGTTTTTGTTTACTGATCATGTCTTTCCATCTTTATAACTCCCAGTTGAGTGTATGCTTGTCAAAGACAGGGACTGCCCCTTTCAGTTTCATATTCCCGTAACTTGTAGGATGCCTGCATATATTGGGTAGGCAATAACTATTAATGGATAAAGGTTTATTGTCCATAGCATATACATTTTGACACTGCCTTATTTTAAAAATGTGTTCAAGATGACCGAACAAATGACAAGAAAATGAGAAGGAAAAAGGGAAGAGGATAGGCAATAAAATGGGGCCAGGCATGAACTCATTCATGCCATGAGTCTGTAAGTGCATAGGTAATACGAATATAAGTGCATTTACAATTACGAAGGACACATATATGTGGAGCTTAAAAAATATATTTTAAAAATCCGGTCTGATATTTGAGCCAAAAATTGCATCTTGTAAATTTTGGTCTTAGAAAGATTTCTTATTTTTCTGGATGACGCATTTTTGTCAATGTATGTCTGATGCTGAAGGGTTTGTCTGGAATGCTCATTAGTGCCAAGATTAGCATGTAATCAGCATTTGGTGAAATGGAGTGGCCTCAGTTGGTCCCACTGCTATGAAAACAGGAATCTGTAATATGACTGTCTAGGGGCTCTTCAGTTCCTGAAATTTTCTGTTATTACTTCTCTTACCTGTTCTCTTTCAAAAAGCACATAGTCATGGGGTAGGAATGCAAGAATGCTCATTCGAAATAATAACCTTCTCTTGGAGTAAGTATCTTTTAAATTAGTGTAACTAAAGTACCTATGAATTATGGCTTGCCCTCTAGGTGACCTGTTTGCCAAGTTCAAATAAAAAAACATATTCTCATTCTTCTGCTCTCAGGATTAAATTTATGTGAATCTAGTAGATTTTTTTTTTTTTGGTTGTTTTTAATAAGAGACTCTTCTTGAATCTAATTCTCTGCACGATCTTGTTGATGGAGAACAACACTTTGTTTGCCATGTTGTTCCTTAATTAAGTGTTAAAGTAATAAGGTCTTATTATTCTGGGTAATTTATTTAATACAATGAAGCAGTTAGTCACTCACTGGCAGCTTTTCAAAGGAAGTGGGCCAAGGTGCTAGTCCATTTCTTTTAGTGTGCCAGCCATTAGAATTGTGTGTTCCAGGGATTTGCTAATCAGCTGGCAACTGATTTAAAAGGCAGAAAAGACAAGACTCTTGAATGACCACCACTGACTCACCGACAAGACAGAGTGTGTACTGGCTTCAAGCCTTGTCTATTGGCATGCAGAATTTGCTGCCAGAGGAGGGAAGACTTAATGGCAAAGAGCCTATGTGCTACCTTTCCATGTTTGTTGCATATCATCAGCGTCATTCTTGACCGTGGCTTTGGGTTAGCCACTGAGAACTACTAAGTAGAGTGTACTACTCCAGCTGAATGTTTGTCTCCCTGTTTGTGTGTTCCTTTGTCCACCCGTATATCTGTTGGTTCATCTGTCCATCCAACACTAGATTTAAGCTGTCTATGAATGGACTGGAATTAACCTCTGAAAGCACTGTTTAGCATTGAGGTTGGCAAACTGTTCCTGTAAAGGAAGAGATAGTAAGAATTTGAGCTTGTAGGCCATGCTGTCTTTTGTTAACTCATCAGCTCTGCTGTTGTAGGGCAAAAACAGCCATGGATGATATGTAAATGAATGGCTGTGTTCCAGTAAGATACTGTTTACAAAAATTGCCTTGCCCACTCCTGGTTTAGATAATCTGACTCAATGTAGTTTTACATGTTACACAAAAAGTTTAAAAAATGCTTTTAACACTTAGGAGTTTTCTAAAGCAGCTTATGTCTCAGGTTTGTTAGTTAGCTTAATTGTCATTTGCTTTGAGCAGTTTTGTGGATTTTAGTGTATTATTTAAATATATTGATGATTTAAAAAAATATTCATCTCTCTGGCATTGGTAGTTGATGAAGTGTCCGTAGATGCAAGGGGTAAAAATAAAATATACTTAAAAATTTGGCCCTGCTCTGTGTGTTTTGTTTTTCAAGTCACCATAAATTGGCTTCTTGATAGAAAACTTGTCTGAGAACATAATTCAGTCTGATCAAGTTTTAACAGAAACATATTAAATTTTTTTGACTTTATTTTTTCAGAACAGTTTTAGATTCACAGAAAAAGTGTGAGGATAGTACAGGAGAGTTCCCTGCACCCAGTTTTCTACATTATTAACATATTAGTATGGCATATTTGTTTCAGTTAATGAACCAGTGTGTGACATTGTCGACCAAAGCCCTTACTGTAACATTTTCTTAGTTTGTACCCAAAGTCCTTTTTCTGTGCCAGGGTAGCTGATACATTTTCTACACTTACATGGGACTTTTTCATATGTGTAGTAATGTCATAGAGCCATAGAATAAATGCTATTTCTCTTTTAAGTAACTTATGGAATTTGGGGAGAAGAATAAAAGAAAGCTTTGCCACAGTGAAATGCTTATATTCTCTTGTGCACAAGCGCCACATGAGAAAAAATAAATTTTTATTTGTTTCCCTTTTCTATATTCAGTGGAGCAGGTTCCTGTAGAACCATACAGCATTCCCCTGTCCCAGGCCGAAGTCGTTCAGGAAGGGAGTGACGTGACTCTAGTTGCCTGGGGCACTCAGGTCAGTAACATTTCTAAGAACCAATAATGTCCCTATTGTGCTTGGAAGCTCTCATTTTTTATCCTGATACTATAAAAATCCAAAGTGTTGTTTTTCTTGTATGTCAAATTTAAGTCTTGTTAGTGCTACATGTATATCTGGTACTGACTTCTGGTTGAGGGTGAGGTGCCCGTTCCGTCATATTAAAATATATATGCATGTGGTGAAGCCATTGTATAAAAATGTACTCATGAGAAACTGTCTCTTTTGAAGCACGCATTATACATCCTCCTACTTGTTTCTGTGCTTGACTTCCTATCGTTTTCATCACATCTGCTGCCATCTCTTGTGATTACTTTGCTGGTCATGTGGACCATCCAGGGGTCCAGCCTCAGAATTCCATACCTTCCTCTGTTCCAGCGAACCTCAATAGCGATCTGCCTCAGTTTCCCCAGTCCTCTTGTCATGTTGTCCTGCCTCCAGACTTTTAAGCTTGGGACTTTTTTTCCCCTCTGGCCATAGACTTCTATCTCTATCTCCTTCTTCTAAAGAAATGGTCCATTTTTCATTTTTCTGTGCGAAGGAAGTACTTATTTTAGAAAACTTGTATAGCAGTAAATGAAGAAAATAAATCATTCGTAATACTACACCCTCTGACTTTCTTCTCCACTTGATTTTTGGCTTGGAGAGCTAGTCCTCATGGTTTCTTACCTCCAGTGGGAAAATCTTTTATCTGTATCCCTGTCACTCAGCAGGCATCCTTGCCTCTGTTTGTAATAGGGGAGTAGTGTATTAGATACTATGTCCTCTAACTTGCTTTTTCCTCACACCTACCATGTTTGCTGCCAGTCCTTTACTCCTCTTTCTCTTTTGTCCTCAAAAGAAGAGGTGTCTGGTTTTCATAGCTACCTCTACAACTCTTTCAGATTATATTCCATTTGCCTTTTCCAGGGCTGTAACTTACCAGCTGGTCCCTTCCCTCTTCTGCATCTTCAGTTCCTCCTTTCAATGTCCCTTTTATTAAAAAGGTGTATATTTCTTCTCTATCTAAAAAATAACCTTTTCTCTACCCTACTTTTCCCTGAAATACCAGTATATTTCCTCCTTTCTTTTATCACTAAACTTGAACAACGTTTTCTACTACCTGTATTTAATTCCTTAACTCCTTATGTTCTTGTACCTTATGAGATTTGTCCCCACTAATTTACTAAAACTATTCTTGTTAACATTCCTAATTTTTAAATCCAACCCTTACCCCATATTGCCACGGTGTACGATGCTGGCTGCCGTTTCTGTGAAACCTTTTCTTCTTTAGTTTCTGGCATACATTGTCTCCTGGTCGGTCTGTCTTCCTTTCTTCCTTCCTCCCTCCCTCTCTCCATCCCTCCCTCCCTTTCTCCCTTCCTTTTTCGAGAGAGCATGAGTGGTGGGGAAGAGCAGAGGGAAAGCGAGAGAATCTTAGGCTGGACGCTGGGTGTAGAGCCTGACTTAGGGCTCAATATCATGACCCTGAGATCATGACCTGAGGTCAAATCAAGGGTTGGTTGCTTAACTGACTGAGCCACCCAGGCGCTGCCTCCTTTTCCTCTTCTTCTTCCTCTTTCTCTTCTACTTCCTCTTCTCCTCTTCCTCCTTCTTTTTCTTCTTCTTCTTTCTCTCCTTCTTCCTCTTCTCCTTCTCCTCCTCCTTTTTCTTCTTCTTCTTCTTCAAGTGAGTTCCTCCTTCTCCATTTTCTCCTTAAATGTTGGTCCTCTGCAGGGTCCTGTAAGTTCTGCCCTTTACTTCTCCCTCCACATGCTTTCTCTAGAAACTCAACCTACTCCTCTGACTACTTTCTGTGTGCTGATATCTTTAGAATCAGTGTCTCTATCAATGACTGCTTTCCTTTCCTGAAATTAAGGACATCTTTCCAACTATTTTCTAGACCTCTGTGTTTGATTACTTTGGGGGAATTGGGGTTCAACATATCTAAAACAAATTTAATTCTCCATTGCAAATAAGTTCCTCTGACTTTAAACACTGTTTCTATTAATGATGTCAGAATTCAGCTGACTTTTTGGGTCTGAATCTCTGTAGTTATTCTCTGCTATTTTTATTTCAGGTTCATGTGATCCGAGAGGTGGCTTCCATGGCTCAAGAGAAGCTTGGAGTGTCTTGTGAAGTCATTGATCTGAGGACTATCCTACCTTGGGACATGGATACAGTTTGCAAGGTATGAATATAATGTTGAAAGAGTGTCATTTCCTTAAATCTGTGGGCCAGATTTGTTGACAGTTTGCAAAGAATTGTTTTGAAATTTTGAGTTCATGAGTATTTTCAACTGATTGAAAACTTTAAAATTTACACCATGACAGAAACATATGTTGTAGAATCAGCTTAATGCTCAAGCAAACCAATCACTTGAGGGTTTTTCCCTCCCATAGTTCTTTGTTTAAAATATTACAGAACTGTGTCCTTCATGCAGCCAGCTTGGGTTGAGCTGTGGAAGTAATGGAGTAGTGCAAATGAAAGCATATCAGGTTGTTGAGGTCACCTGTGTTTTTAACTACTTATGGGTTATGGTTTGATAAGCAAGGTTTGATAGAGTCAACTAAATAGTTTGGCTGAATTTTCATTTGTCTCCTCTCCAAAAGAGATGGAGATGGATTATTTAAAAAACAAATCAAAGCAAAACAAAAACAAAAACCCTCTCTACATAGTCTTCATACTGTGAATCACAGTTTGAATGTTATGTTGTGGGATTCTGTCTGCTCATAGTTTTCCATCTAAGCGAACTCTTGATAGTCCCCTCTCAGGAATACAGTTCAGTTCTCATTTACTCGGTTATAACTGATAGTTTTCATATTAATGTAGAGATAAACCAAAGTTCATCTGTTTCCATTGTGGTATATAAGGAAGATTAGGCTCTATTTTTGTGATGGTCTTATCTACTAAAGTTTAAGTAATGTTGCATGTCTTACTTTTTCTTGATTTACTGTTATAGCAAGTGAGTCCTAAAACCTAGGGTATTTTATATTATTTTTTAAGAACTTTAGTATTCTCATAGCTTTTATAGGCTGTTTCTTAGGTTAGTCATGTGAAAATAACCTGCAGCTCCTACTGCTGTAAAAATATAGCATAGGGTGTTTAGGTAAAGATTGTTTTATAATTTATTGGAAGACTTAAGATTTGTTATAGGAAATGTTGTGTAGACTCACTTGACATCATCTAAACACTTGACATGGTTACGGATGGCTTCAACGATATTCTAAGTCTTTATAGTTTCCATCATAAGAGAAGTATTTTAGGTTGAACGAGAGTAATGCTTCTTGCAGGCTTTTTCAAATCAAGTCAGACACTGGGTTTTCTTTCAAGTAGCCAAATATTCCACATTATGGTTAAGCCAGAGCTGAGAGCCTTTGCCCCAGAGTGGGCTTCTTCTTTGCAGCTGTATCCCCCATTTATTCTTGGGGTTTGTATTTATATAGTGAATGGTGCTTTTCTGTGGAGATATAATGTTTTGTTATGGTGCAGTGGGGGCACTGTTAAATGGTTGGGGCAAGTAGTTTTAAATTTTATTTACATTTTTATATACTTTATACATCCAAACAGCTTATGGTAAAACGCAAATATAACAACACTGCAAGCTTAATTGTGAAGGTACAGTGAAGAGAGAGGAAGAAAGAAGGGAGAAATTCTTTATTTATATTTATCTCTACATAACTTTGCTTGTGTGGTACACCCCCTCCCCCCCTTTAGTAAATCTACTGGTTGCATCTTTGTGTGATCCTGGGATGTGGATCCTATTTCCTTGGGGCTCTTTACTACTGGAAAAGATGAAAGAGGACACTAGAGACCGCTCCTGAATGAAAAGGTGATGCATCAAATCTCTGACTCGCTAGCCTCATCCTTTTAGTCTTGTGTTGGGGTGCTTTCATCCTGTTATTTTTCTAGTTGATGACCCTCTAGTTACAGCAGTGAAAGCCAGCTTGTCATTTCTTGATTACTTTGGGGTCTGTGACTCTTCATTGTTGACCATGGTAATCTTCTATTTTCCTTTCATGTGTCAAAGAAAAGTTTTGATACGTGACATCTTTCTAGGATTTGGAGATGACTTTAAAGGAGAGGACCCTATAGCTAAACCTCATTAAAAGTGAGGCTTCTTTTTTTTTTGTTTAACTACAGTCAAGTTTTTCTTTATGAATTCTGTAGTAATCAAAATTTATGTGTGTGTGTGTTTTTTTAAAGATTTTATTTATTTGACAGAGAGAGAGACAGAGAGAGAGGGAACACAAGCAGGGGGAGTGGGAGAGGGAGAAGCAGGCTTCCCGCTGAGCAGGGAGCCTGATGGGGGGCTCGGTCCCAGGACCCTGGTATCATGACCTGAGCCGAAGGCAGATGCTTAACGACTGAGCCACCCAAACGCCCTTCAAAATTTATGTTTATTATCTTTTTCAGTTAGTGCTGTGTTTTATTGGTTCTTTTTGTTTTATGATAAAATTAGATCCCTCAGCTTTTTTCATGACATGTTAAGCTCAGCACCCAAATGCATCTTTTGGAATACCTAATCAAGAAAAGCCTATTAAAGATAAAAAAATAAATACTTATTGAACATACGTAGACATTAGCACACTATGCATAGTAAAATGGACTCTGGGACAGTTGAGGAATTGGTTAATGTAGTCTTAATTTAACTGTGTTTTAAAAAACGTAGTCATACTTTTTGCTTGAGCCTTGAAGCATTGTTTGGAAGTTATAATCCTGAAAAATTGCTTGGGGACAGAGAGCAGCAGAGTGTTTGAATGTTGCTCAGGGAAGCTACAATATTGGAGACCTGAGTGGGTCCAAGAACCATAGTTCATCAATTCTGGACCTGATATTAGAGAGCTAAGCTGGAAGCCTCTGAAAAGCAGAACAAAAATTCCTGAGTTTTGAAGTGCCTAGGAGACAGAGACCTACCCTGGGAATTGGGGTGGCTTAAGAACATCAGTGAGGAGAGTTGAAAGCTCTGAAGTGAGTAGTAAATTGGCTCTTTTTACTTGGGGGCACCTGCCAAGTAAGTCTCAACTAGAAACTGAGAACCCAGGGGTATAGAATCCATGTTTCATGGGGTTGTAGTGACAAAATAGGAAACTTGGAGGGGGGGTTGCTTAAATACACAGTTGGTCTCCCATTCAAGATAAATGCCAAATTGTATATGGTGGGAGCTGAAAATACCTGAAAGTTCAAACCATCCCTTGAGACTGAAGTGTCAAAGACCAGTCATACTCTCAGTTGAAAGTTGTGGAGTCGGGTCTTAGGAGCTACTAGAAGTAGATTAAAGCTTTCCAAATCCACAGCACAGCCTCTCTCCCTCTCAGTTCCTTACTGGATTAATATAACTTACCTTCTGTTCTGTCTGCCCAGCACAACAAGGAGTCAGTCCTCCCATCATCTGGAACCTCTATGAATCAGCATTCAATAAAAAATTACTAAGTATATGAAGAGACAGGACCATTTGATTCAAAACCAAGAGAAAACACAAACAATAGAAAGCAGAAACACAGGTGATCCAGTCATTGGAGTTAGCAGACAAAGACTTTATTATGTTTAGGAATATAGGAGGAAGAAAAAGAACAAAAGAGGTAAGAAAGTGAATTACCCTGGAGGCGTGTGTGTGTGTGTGTGTGTGTGTGTGTGTATGAGAGAGAGAGAGAGAGAGAGAGACCATTGTAGAACCAAAGAAATATTTGTCAATAAGAACTCAGTGGATGTGTTTACAAACTTATTGGACTTAGTAGATGATAATATTCATGAACTAAAAGGCAAGTATCTAGAAAATGTCCAAACTGAAACACAGAGAGGGGGAAAATAAAATAGACTAAAACAGAAGAGAGCATAAAACACACTGGGAATCTGGTCAAAAGATCTGTCCCACATATGATTGGAATTCCAGAAGAAGAAAGGAGAATGAATTGGTCAGACACAATAAAAAAAAATATTTCTCATTAAACTTTCAGGACATCATCATACTTGAGGATTTGTGAACTTCTAAAGATGTATTCAAAGAAAACCACACCTACCTACACACTGGAATGACATCTTAAATTGCTAAGGATGCGAACCTAACATTCTGTACCCAGTAAAAACATACTCTTAAAGTTAAGATGAAATAAAAAGTACCTTAGGCAAATAGAATTTGAGAGAATTTATCACCAGCACATTTTCACTAAAGGCAATACTATAAGGCAGTTCTTTAGGCAGAAGGAAAATGATCCTAGAAGACAGTCAGAATGGGCTTACGTGGAGTTAAAATATTCTGTTGTTCTAGGATTTTAAATGTAATATTTTTACTAGATTATAGTAAGTTAGGGATGCATGTTGTAACAACTGAAATAATAGTGAAAGTATATATCCAGCAAGTTAAAAAGGGACCTATAGATTAATAAAGTATTTGGTTAAACTAAAAGAAAGGAAAATATGTAAAAAAAAAACAAAACAAAAACCCAAAAAAACAAAAAAAACCCAAAGCAAAACAGGTGTGTCAGTAGAAAACAGATAGATGATAGCTATAAACCTAAGTATATAAGTAATTAAAACAAATGAATTAAATCTAGTAAAAGCCAATGATTGTCAGACTTCCTTAAAGAATAGCACCAATATCCAGGTTAAGAGATAGAGCCTTTAAATATAGGGACACAGAAAATGTGAAAGGGATGAAAAAAAAAAGACCTCTGGTGTAGCCATACTAATTTCAAATAAAGCTTTTAAGGCAAGAAGCATTACTAGAAACAAAGAACAGTTCATAATGCTGAAGGAATCAATCTGCTATGAAGATATAACAGTCTTTTATTTTTTTTAAGATTTTATTTATTTATTTGACAGAGAGAGAGTGAGAGAGGGAGCACAAGCAGGGGGAGTGGGAGAGGGAGAAGCAGGCTCTCCGCTGAGCAAGGAGCCCAATGTGGGGCTCAATCCCAGGACCCTGAGATCATGACCTGAGCTGAAGGCAGACGCTTAACCAACTGAGCACTCAGGTGCCCCGAAGATATCACAGTCTTAAATCTATTATGTCATCGATAGCATAATTTCAAAATACATAAAGCAAAACAAAATACAAAACTAAAAGGAGATGTAAACATATCCACAATCATAGTGGGAGACCTTGACACCCCTCTCTTTAAAACTGATCAAACAAGCAGGTAATATATCAGTGAGTATATAGAAGATCTGAACAGTTAGCAAACTTGTCCT